GTCCAACGAACCCCAACAGGATAGATCCCAAAAGAAAATCACCTAGATATATCATCATCAAACTTATCAAAACCAAAGACAAAGAAAGAATCATGAGAGCAGCACGGGAAAAATGAAAAGTTACCTACAAGGGGCAACCAATAAGGCTAAGCTCAGATTTCTCAACAGAAACCATGCAGGCGAGAAGACAATGAGATGGTATATATAAAACACTGAAAGACAAAGATTTCCAACCAAGAATTACGTACCCTGCAAAATTTTCCCTCAAATATGATGTTGAAATTAGGACATTTCCAGATAAGCAGAAATTAAGGGAATATGTTAAAACCAGACCAACCTTACAAGAGATGCTAAAGGGTACCCTTTGGACAGAGAAGCAACAACAGCCAACAATAACTGACCATTAACACAGATGATGACATAACCCAGAAACCAACCCAGCTGTGGAAGTATCCAAAGTAAATATGCCTACAAGATTGTTCACAGGGAACCAGAGACATCAATTGACAAATGAGGATAACTACAAACCAAAAAGAGGGAAAAAACTGTATTGTTACAGAACTTCTAGATGGTACGGAAGTCAAGACAACTATAAGATAGAACAGACTGTTCTAAACTTGGGAAGAAAACTAAATCACGGGTAACCTCAAAGAAAAATGATAAACCTTCTCATCAAAAAAGAGGAGCAGCATAAATATTCAGCAAATACTAAAACAATAGCAATGAATGAAGTGATAACACGATTCATAAACAAAATGAGCTCAGCATAGAAAATTATATGGAACAAAGAAATTGACACCACAAAAAAGCACATAACAAAAATGACAGCAACAAATTCATACTTGCTAATAATTACATATCTGACAAGGGACTTATCTCTTAAGATTTATAGTGGAAGAGTGGATGACCAAACTATGGTAGATATACATAATGGAATGCTATGCAGCACTAAAGAATAATGTAGAGTCTGCAAAATACCACATAATATGGATGAACTTAGAGGACATTATGCTGAGTGAAATAAGTCAATTATAGAAGGACAAGTATAGTATTAGTTCGTTGTTGTGGAGGGTCAAGGAAAGGTTTAAATTTGGAGGGAAACTTTCTTTGTTGATTGCCAGGGTTGGGAGGGGAGGGGAGGAAACACTGCAAACAAAATAAAACAAAACAAAAAAATGCATTGGCCCATGTCACTTTAGTTTTGTGTATTTCAATGTACATAAATTATATTTCAGTAAAATGCATTAAAAAAAAGTTAGGGTGGGAAAACAAACAAGGGTGAAGGCAGGCAAGGATGATTTGAAAGAATGGCAAGCTAACTTCTTTGGTGGTCTTATGGGGCTAGGGAAGTTTAATCGAGGGTCCCCAGCCCAGTTTTGGTGGAGGCAGAGTTTACTGGGTGAAGAGATACAGGGAGAGCAATCTCACAGGGAGAAGAGTATCAGCCAAGGTCCAGAGGAACATGACAGTTACAGGATCACACTGCAGCTCAGGATGGCTCTGAGTAATAGGAAGAGAGGGGCAAAGGAGAGGCCCTGGAGGACTGTAGGCATGGTCTCCTGAGAGGTGAGGGGCTAACAACAAGACCCTGAGGCTGAGGGATGACAGAGATGGGTTTGTATCTAAAAGACCCCTCTGGTAACTCTACAGAGGGAGGGAGAGGGGGCTGGAGGATGAGGGCCAGGATTAGCTGCTACCCACAAGGGACAAAGGGAGCCTGAGCTAGGTAAAGAGAGGGGGAGATGAGAAATATCTAGAAGCTGACCCTGCCAGTGTCTAGCATATGAGGGGTGGGGTGGGAGACGGACAAGGAGGTGTTGGGGGAAACATTCCTGCACCTGGCTGGAAAGGTGGATGGTGGCCCAGCTGAGATGAGGAGAGATGTTTGAGCATGTTGATGCTAAGGTGCTGAGGACATCTTGCTGGAGGGTCCAGCAGGTAGCTAAGGTGGGTGTGGCACTCCCCACATCCTCCCAACCAATCCTTACAGGCCCAAGAGGTGGGACTATCCCCTTTTCAGGCACCTGAGCTCAGGTGCTTGAGGCCTTGTGGAGAGAATTTCTTAGCTGGGTCTCTTCCTTCCAAACCTCTGTGATTTCCAGGATACCTCAGAACATGTTTCTCCCACGTGAGGAGGCTACAGCATCCAGAAGCCTTCTACAGCTCAGAGAAACCAACCCCATCCCAGATCTGAGATCCCTGGATACTGCTTTGTGTTTTAGATGTACTTGCTTCTGATTGGAGAACGGGAGGCTTCAGGTCCAGGTTTGGTGCCAAGCTTTCCCTGTGCAAAGGCACTTGAATTTGGCTGTGACTCAAAACCCTTCATTTCTCCCACTCCTTTGGGTCTATCAGCTTAGGAAAGCTGAAGGAGTTGAATCCATGCCCAGCTCAATCTTCGTTTTATTTTTTTAAACCTGACTAGCACATTCCCTGCATGAGCTGACTGTCACGTGTCAGGTAGATTCTCTCCATTTCATAATTAATTGCTCTTGTCTTTCAGAATAAAGGACAATGTTGGACAGTACAACACTCTACAACCAATCTAGAAAAGAATGAAAGTGACCCTTAAAACTAGACAGCTGGGAAGGCATATTTCTCTGGGGGAAGAGGCAATAGCTAGGGAATCGGGAGATGGGAGATGTAATCTGAGCTCTGTTGCTAATGAGCAATGGAAACTTGAGTAGGTCAGACAGTTTCTATGGTTTCATTTTTCTCTTCTGCATTTTTTTTTTTTTTTTTGGCAGAGAGGTGGGGAGGACAAGGAGGAATTGCAGTGGAGCAGTGGTTCTCAACCTTCAGCACCAGAATCACCTGGTTGTTGGCCTTAGTGCCTAAGGCACTTGACTGCTAACCAGAAGCTGGTGGTTCAAACCC